CAACACATCCTACATGTAGCAATATTACCCAAGACAGCGAGTCTATTGGCCCAGTTCACTAAGCCTCACCCATTTGAATCAAAGTAATAAATACTACATATATATGTCTGTTTAATATCTTACGGGTTAAGAGTATGCTGTAATTAACCGAGGCCTAGTTCGTTTACGACGATCAGTATAAAACGAACTGCTTCTCTCTGCGATCTTGTTCAATATATAAATGTACTAGTACAACTAATCAGTCAAGACAAATTCTACACTTGACACCACAATTGTTCGCGATGGGGTGTTCATGTCCATCTGGGTTGTGAACCACTTATTCTTGTTTCGCGAGTAACTGATAGCATGATCTTCGGTTCGCCCGATGACGACCCACACTATCTAATGCAAAACAACAGAACGTAGAACTTGTTTAATCTAACATTTTCTCATTCATAAAGGGTAAAAGTGTAATATCATCCAAAGCCAAGCTTTCAGTATATAACACTAACAATCTCTCACTTATACTTAAAACTTTCGCTTTTACAGGTATAGTCCTATCAATCGTTATTCTAAAAGACCTATGTCGATCCTATTGTCATGCACTTGACTCCCATTCCTGTCACGTGTTTGACGAAGACCTTCTCCGGCAAACTCTTCGTGAAAGGATCAGCTAGGTTGTCCTCAGATGCAATCTTGTCAAATTTATATATCAGTTTGACCAGACCAAATCGATTATTGAACCTAAATTTAAATTTTAATATTGAAAATACTTTATTACGTGAATGTGATGTAGTTCAAACTTCAAATAATCGTATTAACAATACTTTTATGAAAGCATGTTTAATAATTTATATACATTTATATCATTTTATTTATATTTATGTGAATAAAATAATATTTTATTATAATTCTTATTAATGTACGGTAAATATAAAAAAGTTTTCAGACCAAGACCATCATCGAAACGATCAAGTTATTTTATTAAATCATTTGTGGTTTGTTCAGATTTTTAATTTATAAATATTTTAATATATATTACATAGTACTTTTTGTAATAAATTCAATTAAAATATGTTATTTAAATATATAAATAATTTAAAATTTCAAATGTATAAAACAATTAATAAAACAATTTATAAATCTCTATTTTATTTAAATATGTAATTTTTTTTAAAATGATTTTAAATGTAGCAAAATTTATTTAGAAAATCGTATCGATCCTACCAGTTCAACCGACTGATGTTGATTGATTCGATAGCAGTATTTTATTCAAGCGAACTAGACTGGTTATAAACGGTTCTCCGTCCATCCTTTCGGACTGTGACCAAACACGGTTTAATTTAAAAATGATGGATCTTGATTAATTTTATTTATATATTAAATTTATAACACAGTCGTAATATTATTTTCCCCTGCATCGCACGGGCCGCGCACTAGTATAGGTGTATAGGTACTAATTTTCAATTAATATAATAATATTACATTTGTATCCCTAAAGAAAAGTTAGGTTTCTTTTTCTTGAGGGTAGTACTGGCAATTTAAACTTTTATTTAAATGTGGTTGAATAAGCTACAAATCATCATTACCAATCCTAATTTAAAATCACAAATTAAATTTATGTCCTTAAAAAATAATATCTTTTGAGAGTAGTAAGAGAAATTCAAAAATTTCAAGTAATCACTCATTCTTTCAAGAGAGTTATAAACAGATTATAGATAGATGTAATCAGGTTTTGTACAGCTTAATTAGCTACTACGAAACGAATTGCTAGCATGAATTCAGCCGATACAAAACTTTTCATGAGCCTAGACAAAAAAAAAAAAAAGTTTAAAACATGCTTCTCCTTATAACAATAAATTAGACAGGGAACCATTCATTCGATTCACCAAAAGTTTAGTGACTAGTTTGTATATGACATTAAGCAGGTCGATGGGCCGAAAATTTCAGACTGTGGTTGCGTTCTCAAACTTAGGAATTAAGATAATCAAGGTTCTTATTCACTTCACGGTGCACCTCCCCGTCTCGCCACATTTTTCGAATGAAAGCACGCACCGATGGTCCCATAGTGTCCCAATTTTTCTTGAAGAATAGTGCATTTAAACCGTCCATACATGGGGGTGCAGGGCTGCAAAGATCTCCTCGTCAGAAATATCCTCCTCTACGGCAGTCATGATAGACACATCACACACTGAAAGTAGCTACGCGCATGCCCGAGCTTAGCAGGAGCCGGTCTCGCGGTATAGATACTCTTAAAGAAGTATGTTGCCAACGTCCGAAGTGATGTTTGATCTGTTACCCAGTGTCCCTCAGCATCAACCAACTCAGATATTTTACCACGCCGCTTGCTGTATTTAATATGATTGTGGAAAAAGAAAATGTTTCTGTCCCCCATGAGCTACCACTCCCTCGTGGACTTCTGCATCAATAACAGTTCTTGTATATATAATGACGTCATTTATTCGTCTTGCAATTGCTTCTTTAGAACCACCAAGCGTTTGCTAAAATAGAACTGTCGGCTTCGCTGAATATCGCCTAATCGAGCTAATAATCTCTTCTTACAATGAAAATATTGCCGAACACCGAAAAGTTCCACTCCCTTCGCCACCTCAACAAATCTCGTTTCCGCCTCAACAAAGCAAATGGAAGGTTTTCATGTGTCTTGTAACATCTCCGTGAACCCAGGGTGGAGCAGCCAGGCGGGCAGAAACCGAATTTTGCGGCAATTGTTTCCAGTTCTTCTCGTTTCTTTTGTTTTCAATTAATTGTCAATTTCAATTTTGAATTTCTTCTTGCAACCCAGTTTAACACCAGTTCTTCTCCTTTCTTTTGTTTTCAATTAATTATCAATTTCCATTTTGAATTTCTTCTTGCAACCCCGAGGTCTAATATGTAACACAAATGTTGAAGTTATAAATCTATTTTTTCTTCTTCGTTCCAATCCCAACTCATTCAATTTTGTGCTGTTGTTTACCAGTTTCTCCTATTAATGCATACTTGTGTTTTCCAGTTCTCCAGTAGCCGGTTGGGTTCAGCAACGGATGTTGAATCGAATCGGCCATCTGCTTAGCCTTATTAGCTGACCTCAGTGGTGCCAAAGTGTCATTCAAGTTACAGGGTTTCGAAAGAGGCTAAAATTTTCGCACCCTTAGCACCCTATGCGGCCTGGTTTTTCGCCTAACCAGTTAGCCTTTCACCTTTGTTAGAATATCACTTGTGAGTTGTCCCACATCGTTCATACATGGAAAATAGACCCACCTTATAAGTCTAATGGACTACTTCTCCTTCCACCAATTGATTTTGGGATGGAACCCCACTTGGGCTTCATATGGGCTTTTCCCTCTCATGGTGCGCTTCATGTTAGTGGGACCGCACCGTTTTCCCCCAGTTTCTTACATGTTATCAGAGCTCGGTTCTATTGGGACCGTGCGATGACGTACCCGTTTATGGGAGTTTGCTTCCCCACGTACCCGTTTATGGGAGTCTACTATAAAGTCTGCTTCTAGTAGGCTTGGGGCGCCCAGTTGGGCTTGGGCTTCCGAAGGACTCACAAGTGAGGGGGCGTTTTAGAATATCACTTGTGAGTTGTCCCACATCGTTCATACATGGAAAATATACCCACCTTATAAGTCTAATGGGCTACTCCTCCTTCCACCAATTGGTTTGGGATGGAACCCCATTGGGCTTCATATGGGCTTTTCCATTCTCGTGGTGCGCTTCATGTTAGTGGGACCGCACCGTTTTCCTCCAGTTTCTTACATGGTATCAGAGCCCGGTTCTATTGGGACCGTGCGATGACGTACCCGTTTATGGGAGTCTGCTTCTCCACGTACCCATTTATGGGAGTCTACTAGAATGTCTGCTTCTAGTAGGCTTAGGGCGCCCAGTTGGGCTTGGGCTTCCGAAGGACTCACAAGTGAGGTGGCGTGTTAGAATATCACTTGTGAGTTGTCCCACATCGTTCATACATGGAAAATAGACCCACCTTATAAGTCTAATGGGCTACTCCTCCTTCCACCAATTGGTTTTGGGATGGAACCCCATTGGGCTTCATATGGGCTTTTCCCTTCTCATGGTGCGCTTCATGTTAGTGGGACCGCACCGTTTTCTCCCAGTTTCTTACATGGTATCAGAGTTCGGTTCTATTGGGACCGTGCGATGACGTACCCGTTTATGGGAGTCTGCTTCCCCACGTACCCATTTATGGGAGTCTACTTCTAGTAGGCTTGGGGCACCCAATTGAGTTTGAGTTTCCGAAGGACTCACAAGTGAGGGGGCGTGTTAGAATATCACTTGTGAGTTGTCCCACATCGTTCATACATGGAAAATAGACTCACCTTATAAGTCTAATGGGCTACTCCTCCTTCCACCAATTGGTTTTGGGATGGAACCCCATTTGGGCTTCATATGGGCTTTTCCCTCTCATGGTGCGCTTCATGTTAGTGGGACCGCACCGTTTTTCCCCCAATTTCTTACATGACATCGTTCATACATGGAAAATAAACACACCTTATAAGTCTAATGGACTACTCCTTCTTCCACCAATTGGTTTTGGGATGGAACCCGACTTGGGCTTCATATGGGCTTTTCCCTTCTCATGGTGCGCTTCTCATGGTGCGCTTCATGTTAGTGGGACCGCACCGTTTTCCCCCAGTTTCTTACAGCCTTCACACTAAACGCACAACTTAATAATACAAAGTCGGAATAGTGTTTTAACCAATACACCAACAAGCAACGCACACAGATAGCATCAAGCAATCAAACAAGGCAACAAGAGTTTACGGCCTCCACGCCCAACCAACAATTTCACTATTGCTGGAAAATTCGCCAACGCATGCACACAAACTCGCGGTATCACTCATACAAGTTTGTTCTCCTCTCACAAACTTTACAAACAAAATAACATTTCAAACCTCACATATCACAAGGCTACTCTTCACATTTTCTCCCAATCACATAATCCCATCACATTCTGGCATTAGTAATCACCGGACAAAATGACGACTACATACCCAAAGACGTCAAGGCGACACGAGTTCCCTAAAAATGGCTTCGCAGTTGGTTTCTTTATAGATCAACAGGTGGCCAGCATCAGCAACCTCATGATACCTAATCCATGGGATCTGCCGGGACAAATACCGAGCGAGCTCAAAAGGAAACACCTTATCTTCGTGTCCTACCCACATGTCAACATGTCCTTCGCCGTCCACAAAAGGATTTCTAATATCCGTCGGATCAAAATCCCATTTCCCAAACGCCACCATTAGGTCCCGATGCAAAGACTCGTGCAGGCCTTGCTGTGTCTCCATCCCCTGAAAGAAACAAATAGATTTTCTTTATGCATTTCTATTTTTCTTTATGCAATTTTTTTCATTCATTGTGGTTTAAACATTAAAATAATTTCTTTATGCATTTCTTTTTTTTCATCTTACACCATCAACTGGCTGTTGAAAGCAACACAGTAACTGCAGATCGAAAGTTTGGAATCACGACGAGTCGACGAAATCGATTTTAGCCAAGAAATAGCTATCTAACAAAGGATTTGATTATACCTGACCTGGTGTTGGAGCTTTACTAGCCAATTGCTCGAGGATCTCTAAGTCCGAACGGCTGAATGGATCAGGCTTTCCCACGAGGCTACTTAAGGATGGAAGCCAGCTTTGGGTCATCCACCAGTGGACTAGCCACGGGGCATAATGGGCCACTCGATATGTCCACCGTTGAGCAACGAGAAGCCCGTTTAAGGCGTCCCTGAATAGCTTGTCGGGAAAGCAAGGCCACCAGAAATTTGTTAAGGGGACCACAAGGGCAACTCCTGATAACCTTTTAACAAAAAAACAAATCCAGGATGAATATTAATGTGGTTGAAGTGAAATTTTCTCCCCTTGTATTTATATAAGCATTAATGCAGAATTGTAAGTATTAACTAGAATTTTGTTAAGTAATAACAAAACTATTTCATTTTAGCAGAATATTATGTTGGTGAATGGCTCCGAATGTGTGAAGCATTTGAATTGCTCGATAACAAGAGATAATGGACTGAACTAGTTATCGCCATTTTACCTATGTGGGATGTACTTTAGGCAACCGTAAACTGCATATGCTCCGATAGAGAGGCCCATCACGTAAAACTTTGGGCCAAGTTGCAGCTTATCTGCTAGTTCTTGAATATCAAACGCTTCACTTTTCACTGACCGTCCAGGATTTGGATCACTTTCGCCATAGCCTGCACGATCAAATGTTACGATGCATATCTGCAGCTCCTTAAGGACTTCCTGGTAATCAGTGAAGGAAGAAAATGAATAAGAATAAAAAAAGAATTACTGATCTAAACTCATTTTATACAAACTAAGTAAAACACAATATTTTCGACAGTCACAGCGCAATACACGCATCAAACAGTATGTAAGAAAAACACCATTTTCTTACATCAGAAATCTGAAAGTTGAAGTATTTAGAGTCGGCATAGGCATGAGCGATAATAATCTTGTGTTTGGCTATTTCCCTGGCCACACCCCTTTCCTTGTACGCCAAATGCCTCCCGTCATCGAGTCTCACTCTCGGTGAGGTCACCGGCGGTCCCCCTTTCGAGCCGCACATTCTGCTACACGGAGGCTTAATCGCAACATAAGCGCATCCAACA